AAAAAAAAACAAAAACATATGTACTAGATATAGAATAGTTGCTCTATAAATACTTTCTAAAATAATTTGCATAGATACTTGGCCAAAATTAGGCCAGGTACTAATATTACTCACAAAAAGAAAATAAAGTTTTATTTCTAACTTATAAAAAATTTAAATTGGTCTTCAAGAATTAACCTTTATAATAAAGGGAAGAAGTAGCTTTGGAAAGACTGTCTCTGCTAACTCATGTCTGAGCTATGTAAACAGAGGGTGAAAAATATTATCAAAATAGCACTTAGCCAGGCTTAGCAATATTCTCTGACAGGTCCTTTAAAAAAAGACAGGAAAAAACAGTAATAGTAGGTAATTCTTATATATACTACTATATGACAGGCACTATTCTAAGTAAGCACTTCCAGTGCTCTGTGGTTCTACAGATAAAGAAATTAAGGCACAGAGAGCTTAAAAACCTTTCCGAAGGTCACAGAGCTAGTAAGTGGTGGGGCTGGGATCTGAACATAACAGCTGACTCAAGAACCTGTGCCTAATCCTTAAGCTACACAACCTTTCCCAACAATCACAAGCAAACATGAATCATTTGGTTTATGAGATATAAATGCCATTCAAAATCACAGATAATGAGAAAACAATTTCTGAATATAGACATAATGTTAAAAACAACACACACACACAGACATACACATATCTATATTGATGTATTCCCTATGTTCACACTTAAACATTCTGAAACTTTAATTTACGTTCCATTTTGCCTACTGTTTTTCCAAAGAATGTTTAATGGAAGGACATGTTACATTTCCCAACATGTCCTTTCACTGCCCTTTTATAGTCCTGGGACCTCACAACATGCAACAGGCGATGTGTTCTAATATGGGGATTTACAGCTTTTAAGTAGTTTCTGTATGACTTAAAAAAGATAACTTCATATGATTCCACTTACATGAAACATCTAAACAAGGTACATGCAAAGAGACAAAGGTTTACTAGTGGCTACCAGGGGCTGGGACAGTGGGAACAGCGAGTTATTTGTTAAAGGGGACTAAGTTTCTGTTTGGGATAATGAAAAACTCTGTAAACCGACGGTGTTGATGCACAACATGGTAAATACTATTAGTGTAACTGAATTGTACCCTTAAGAACACTTAAAATGACATTAAAAAAAATATATGCTCTATCTCAATAAAATTTTAAAGCAAAATAATGTCAAAATAATATTTTTATACCAGTTGATTGCACAATACTTAAGGAGCTCTGGTGGTGCAGCGGGTGAGGCATTTGGGTGTTAGCCAAACGAAATTAACGGTTCAAATCCACCAGCTGCTCCACAGAAGGAAGATGATGCAATCTACTTCTGTCAAGATTTATAGCCTTGGAAGCCCTACAGGGGTCACTGTGAGCTGTAATCGACACACTGGCTGTGGGTGGCAGAAGACATTAGGATAGAGCTCTAAAAGTAGACAAAATGAATCCTGACTAAAGTGACAGCATAGCTTGGGCTTAATAGGGAAAAATGAAAACATGCTCAAGAGCATAGGATACTGAATACCTGAGGAATGAGAAGCCTGTGGGGTTCTCTACGGTCAGAAGATGATGATTATAATAAATTACATCCACGTTAATATCTCAAGAAAAATAAAACCAAATCACTGCCATCGAGTTGGATCCGACTCATAGCAACCCCTCCTTTGGTTTCTGAGGTGGTATCTCTACGGAAGTAGATTGTCCAACCTTCCGAGGAGTGGCTGGTGGGTTTGAAATGCCAGCCTTCTGGTTAGCAGTCATATGCCTTAGGCACTACGGACACGTGGAAAATGTGGCATATGCTTTTAGGGATTTAGCAGACAGTTGGAAAAGCTTTTGGAAGAGTAAACTGAAGCATTTAAAAACATTTCAAACATGTTCTTGTGCTCAATTTCTCACTGATAACTAATGTCAATCCCAAGGCTGACTTCACACAAGTGAGGCAAAGAAAGACACTCTTTCTCTGTCCTCCTACCCAAAATCAATAGTTCTCTCACAGTGCTTAAATTCTCCATGTTAGATAATCCTTTAGGTTAAGTCACCAAGGATACTTTTGATGAAGAACAAATCTGTTCTTTGGGAAGAATTATTCATCACTAACACATACAGAGAAATATGCATACTCACCCATGAAGATGCTAAGAATGGATGAGAAGAAAGATGGGGTGGAAGCAGACAGAACTCTACAACAGACAATGCAGGCCACTGTGGCATCATGCTGCGTAGCTCTTAGGATAATGAACCAACACAGGAAGCATGAACGCCTCATGTCAAGAACAAACAGTTTCTAAAAAACAAAGCCTACTGAAACACCTTGTTTAAAGTGGGCTTTGAATATGTCTGACAAAGACATGAAGAAAATATTTTAAGTAGGATTTTAAAAACGTACTAAGAAGAATATTTTGAAATGGTTAATACCTAGAAAAAAAGGTACTCTTTTAAACGTGTATGTCTAGTATTCTTGTCTGATATGTCCTATTAATATTATGTACAACCCAGATGCTCACAGCCACAATATCTTATGCTATTTAACTGCATTTCTTAATACCAAATGATCTAAATATTTGGGGTGATTCCTTTATTTTGTACTGTGTTCTTACTTCTCTGACATAGAAAGCTTGCTAGTTTGTTGCTTGTAGTTGCTGTTTATTTCATTTCGCACTCGCTGGACAAGCTCCTCCTCAATAGCAAATTCTATTGCTCTCTCGATCACATTAAGCCACCAAGGGGAATTAGGATAAATCTGTAAGAAAATAAGGACATCAGTTGATAAATTAATATATACATACAGTTTTCAGTACTCACTATGTTTCCATGAGCAGGAAGGGTGATGTGAAGAACTCAATGTAAGTAATAAATGCTGCCCTCAAAAAGACTGTAACAGAAAAAAAGACATACATACACACTCTACAGAATGAGTGAGTACCACGCATATGTAATTAAAGAGAAAACCTGCCCCCTAACTGCTCTGGATGAATACAAGTTTACTGTATATACTTGGGAAACAAAACTGTACTAAAAGATACAAAAACAAAAATTTAACTCTCTCTATTTGAAGAGGTAACAGGTATTTTTCTCAGCACAAGGAAAGCTATCTTCCTAACCTTCAATAAATTAAACAAGATTCTACTCAAAGAATAATCTATAGTAATGAACAAAATTATATTCCAGAACATAAATGAATTACAAAGAATAAAAAGTGCAAATGATTTAAAAAAAAAAAAAAAAAAAGTAAAAGACAATGTATTTGTGTAGCCTTCTCTTTAGAGGTCAATACTGATTTCATAGAAGAGAAATTTTAGAAACCACAAATGGCATGTATTTCCTAAGAAAAATAACTGTGGTTCTAATGTTCTAACAGCTTAAAAAGAAAAGGCTGTGGAAAAAGATGCATCTAAGATCAAAAGGAGATTATGGACACTTTTACATTCTTCATAAGACAAATTGTTATAGTGCCAAGGTAAGAGGAAGCCCATTACACCTTAAAAGAAATGTAAGAGAATCACCTTAACACAGTTCATTTGTCAATGCATCTATTTGTTCATTCAGTCAATAAATATTGTTAACAGAAAATCCAGTTTTTATTGTGGGTCAGCTACTGTATTAGATACGAAGAATGTCAAGATCAAAGAAAGTACAAGATTCTCCTCAAACTGAGACAGAATGGTATCTGACACGGACAAGGGAAGGAGAAGGGTCACTCTGGGTCACACCTTCCTCTGGAGCTCACGTATGGTCTGCTGCACGGGCTGCAGCGCTTGCTGGGCCTCAGCGACTTCTGTATTACACTTGCTCATGTAATGCTCTCGCAGCTGTTTGGCCTGTGTCGGAACAGAGAAGCACCAACTGTCACTCAAAGCCTAGAAAATAATTTAGAATAACGTACCAAGAATAATGGGGTCTTTTTACATGTTACAGCTACTTAACTTGATTTAAACATAAACTCTGTAAGTGTACTGTACAGGACATAAAAGTCATGCTAGAAATTCCTAAGATGCATACTGAAGAGATCAAAAGTGACCTGTAAGTCACAAAACTGAAGAAATCCCCAAAGTTTACTCCCCAAATTTTTATCTAACTATTACCTGACTTAGGAAAAAACAAAGTGGCAACAAAAGAAGAGCAGTATTTGAAATGATGTGGCTCAGCAAGGACACCCGAAAGAACTTGTCTGTTTTACTTATTACAGCTTCTTGAAATTATTTCAGTTTAAAAATAAATAATACTTGGGAATCTACAGTAACACAGGGTATTAAAAGTTCTTCTCATTTCCCTTTTCAAGACAATAATGACAACATAATTTACTAGTAGCAGAAATATTAGAAAATTTTATTTTTAGAAACTTGTTAGAAAGTCTATGAAAATTCCCTTTTTTGCCATTCAACTAAAATTCTTAACTGGTTCAGAGACTATTTGATGAATAAGGAGAAGGATCAGAGACAGCACAGAACAGCATGAGGTGACTGGAGACCACTGAATGGAAAACCTTGATGCTTCCACCTACTAGTGAATGAAGCCATATAAAACTGCCAGTATCTGACCACCTCTGACTTGCAAAAATGCCGGCTTCATGTGGTTCAACTAAATCAATACATGTCTCTGGTATAGCATGTTAACTTCCTGGGGCTTCTGTTACTTCATTTGCAAAAGTTGCTGAAGCAGTGATTTCTAAGTTCTCTTAGTTTTGAAATACTCAAGTTTCACATTCTGTAAGAATCAGGCAAAAGTGGTGAGGTGGCCTCTTTGGACAAACATCTGTATCGTATAACTCTTCCTCCTCCTCACAATGCATTTTTCCTTCTGTCAGAACCTTCCAATTAATTTCTATTAAAATCCCTTGACTATTACTATTTGCTCATTTGAGCTAAGAAGGTACTGGGCTGTCCCCCAGAGACAAAGTTTCTTGTCCCTGAAGGTATCCAAAGAAAGAAAGATTGATTAAATTCAAAGACTGGCTGCCTGCACTAGGAAAGAAATTTCAATTTAAAACTTCCAACACTTCAGTGTGTTTTCCAGCATGACAAACAGCACACTAAAAGGACTATGTCCTTGTTTATATAAACTCATTTTTTTTAAACCTTGTTGATTCAAATAAAGACTCTACACTTAGAGGCTCAATGTTTCAAGCACATCTATTCTTCTCATTCCTACCACCTGTCTGTCTCGGTCCTTCCCGCTGTGGTAGCTTGTGCGTTGCTAGGATGCTGGAAGTGGGCCACTAGTATTTCAAACACCAAGAGAACCATCTAAGGTGGGCAGGTTTCCATCGAGCCTCCAGACAAAGACACATGAGGAAGAAAAGCAATCGACTTTTGAAAATCAGCCAATAAACTCCTATGGGTCACAGAATATTGTCCATGACTTCCACTAACTCACTTTGGCCAGGTCATCAGGAGGTTCTCATCAGTGGAGAAGCAGAGCACACGAATGATCGTGAGGAAGGCACAGCACCAGGCAACACCTTGTTTTGTTACCCAAGTGATCACTATGAGTCGGAGCCTACTCAAAGGCAACAACAACATCCTTTTGATTTAAGCACTGTCCCTCTCTTGGTCTTTAAAAAGGCAGACATCTCTGGGAGAACTAGTATAATAAGCTACTGACAACTTATAGTGAAATAATTTATCACTCTTCAGTGAAAGGCAAAACGTACTGCAGAAGGAACTTCCACGAGAGGAGAAAACCTATGTGAGAAGACACAAGAAATTTCACCAGAAACTTGAGTTTACCTACTATCTTAAACAGCACACAAAGAGACAGCTCAAAACTTGTTTTTCCCACCAAACAACATCGTTTACAGATTGGCCACAAAATCAACAAGGTCTCCTGTATTTGTTGTTTATTTACATCTTGCACTCTTAGCTACTATCTACAACAAGGAGTTACCACAGAGTTGCAAACATTTCACCAGAGAAACAAAATGAAATGGAGTACTGCCATTCTCTGCCATCCAAAATACCACAGGAAAGTCTGTAACAGTCAAGGCAGCAGGAAGACATTCTTACAGTTTTTTAAGTGCCCACATTGGAAAATACCAATTATAAGGAGAATAAAGTCTGAAAAAAATGTACCTTTGGAAAAAATACAATAATTACCTCCTCTTCAAGTCTGCCATCTCGCAAGGTAGGAGGTATCCCTGGGTGCTTGGCTCCTAACAGTTCCATTAAGTTATGAGTAGCGTGAAGTCTCTACAAACACACAAAAGGCAGTAATTATAACAGCAAATGTACTAACTCTAAAGACAGAGCCTACTATTAATATGGCAAGCAAAGCACTAACACTACGTTAAGATGAAATCACCGAACATGACTTTTCCTTGAATACAATTTGAGTACCGACTTTTTCCAGGGAAAATTGAATCCAGTTTTATAGTGAAGGTCTTAATTCATAATGACATGAACATTTTTCAGTTAAAAATACAGTCATTTGAAGTATAGATATGCATTTGGCAGAACACACAACGTTGGTTTATTTCTTCTATTTTACATGTATCTGCCACTGTATAGGCAACTATGAGTTACGTCACATCCTTCCAGTAAATAAAGAAGCAGACACCACAGGGGTATGAGTCTGGATAAACTTAGCAATTATTATAAAAATGAGGGTAATTAAGTAAGAGGGGTGTGATCTGGACATGCCAAACTTCAGGGTTGGAAGAGAAGCTGGAGGTGAAGGAACAGAAAGAAGAAAACAAAATCCTCTATCTCATAATTTAATATAAGCCAGCCTTTCCACTGTGGTATCAAGTCTGTGGCTTATTAGAGGCTCTGTCTGCAGGCAAGGGCTATGGGAAGAAATAAAGTAAAAGTAGATTGTTTTTCATTGTTAGCTTAAGGACCAAAGGATGATCAGGAAAGTATCTTCCGGGGAGATCTGATTTGAAGTCAGTGATTTGAAGCCTCACAAAAAGTTTATTCTGTTCAAGCAAAGATTGTTGGTCAGGTATACATCTTTGAAGAGTCATCTCAAGTACCCAAGGTCTTTTCAACATGGCCTCAGAGACAATATAATCAGTACTCTGACAGATTTAATAGCAGCGACAGAAGTGCAATTATAGAAATGTAAAAGTGGTAGATACGTGCTTCCTCAGCTCTGCATGCACCTGTGAAGAGGACTTTTGCTGTTTTTTGCATATGGTGAAATGGACTGGGAGGAATACTTGTGGTCTCTCTCTAGCCCCTGACATGTTTTCACCAAGAGAACATAGGGGTAAATCTGACTGGTGAGAACATGATACTCAGTCGGCCATGTTTTACCAGTAGATAGGGTTACTGTGACTCAAAAGTGAGAACCGGGCTCTTCACTCTTGAACTCATGCATCTTGGATGTATCTGTCTTCTTGCTACTCTTATACTTTTGTTTTCTTTACGCAGAAGCAGGATACCTTTGCACTTTCTCCTTCTTCTATGACATCGTGGTCCAAGACCTGCCTTCTGTAATCCTTATCCATGCAGAATATAAGCTGAATTTCAGTATTTGAATTTTCTCCCCTTCCTAACTGATCCGACATATATATTCCCTAATATACAGTTCAGTACTGTGAACATGTAGGTACCAAAGTTTGATGATGTACTGTGCAGAGAAAGCCTCACTTGGGACTTAAGACTGAGTTTGGATTAATAAAAATGGTTCTTATTTCCATTTGGCTAGAAAGCCTTTATCTGTATGACCCACTGGACTTGAACAAAGATGGGAAAAAATAATTATTATAATTCAAATATACAAATCCTTCTAGAAGATTTCTAAAAATTTAATGAGAAGACCATTGGATAGATTTTATTACCTAGTTCCCTTATTGGAGCCGCAGGGATCCAGGTGAGGAGAGAGAACCCAGGCACACCCAAAGCAGCAGGGTGGGAGAGAGGAAGAAAGGGGATTAAGAGCCTGGAACCGGACAGAGGAGCAGTCAGACGCAGAGATCCAGGTGAGGAGAGAGAACCCAGGCATGCCCAAAGCAGCAGGGTGGGAAAGAGGAAGAAAGGGGATTAAAAGCCAAGAACCTGGACAAAGGAGCAGTCAGCTGCAGGGATCCAGGTGAGGAGAGAGAACAAAGGCAAGCCCAAAGCAGCAGGGTGGGAGAGCAGGAGAAAGGGGATTAAAAGCCAGGAACCAGGACAGAGGAGAAGTCAGCCGCAGGGATCCAGATGAGGAGAGGGAACCCAGGCATGCCCAAAGCAGCAGAGTGGGAGAGTGGGAGAAAGGATATTAAAAGGCCAGGAACCCAAACAGAGGAGAAGTCAGCTGCAGGGACCCAGGTAAGGGTGGTACGAGAGGTTTCCAACAGGGAGACAAACCTGTCTGTCGGTTTGTCCTACCCTGGTGACGTGTTGATGTGAGTTTTGAGGCTGAGCCACTGGTGTTTCAAACCCAGCGGGATGCACATAGTGCACAGGTATTAGCCCAGTTTACAGACTGAGACAGACTAGGAAGAAGGAAGAGGCCGTCCACTTCTCAAAGAATTGGCCAGGGAAAACCTTATGAATAGCAAAGAA